ATTCAAAAAAAATAATCCTTCACCCTCATTACCCTCGTTGTCTGCAGCTGCATTTTTCTCTTTAGATTTGCCTTTTTTTTTCTTTTCGTTTCTGTTTCTCCTGACGTTTTATTCGACACGCGCGCCTCGAATTCATCTTCTTGTGGCTTTTCTTCTTTCTATTTTTTTTAGACGTTTTTGTACTTGATCCAATGTACTACCGCTACGTTCTACTTTCAAAAAGAAATAAAAATTAAGTATTGTCATCAACCAATCTTTTATGTTCCTATTCTACCTACCAATTCAAGAACATAATAACGCCAAATCCACATCAAATAAGCTCTCACGTATACTCACGTTTTTTTTCCATTAATGTGGTCCAAATAATTTCACCACACAATCACACACTTTACAATAATATCCAGATTGTTTCGAGACATACTAGTGCTTTGGACCAACTGGGTCCTATTCAAGTTAGAATCGAGCATAACATTTCTGTGCACGACGTAAGCAAATCACGAGGTACCTCTTCATCCAAAACATCGTCAGCTGGTTTAGGTTTTAGACCTTTACGTCTTTGCTCTTCCTCCTCTTCTAGCTGTTCACGATGAGCACGATCTCGTGCACGCTGTTCGTATTCTTATTTGTCCCAGGTACGGCGAAAGCTTGTGCGTGCTGTTGTTGAAAGTGATAAAGGTTAGAATGGAAAGAGTTGAAAAAGAAGAAAGGTAATTTAAATGATCGTAGCATAAATTCCTTTCTTTTGCGACATTTGTAATGAATATTTTTCTATATTTATGATTTTCCGTGAATATTCAGAACCAATCCGATTATCTAATTAGTTCTGAGAGAGTGCCAAAATGACGAATGTTCAAGACTAAATGGGCTATAGATGATATGGTACATAACATCATGCATCGCAGAACTCATTTTCTTGACAACCAGTACATTTACTACTAATTCCGTTCTCGACAACCGTAACATTTACTACAATCATGAGTATTGTGAACTGAACATTCGTTGCAGTACTTATCGTTAT